CTTAGCACTACAAGTTACTTTGTGTTGATACTAGTAGTGAGAAACTTCTCTTAGCACTACAAGTTACTTTGTGTTGATACTAGTAGTGAGAAACTTCTCTTAGCACTACAAGTTACTTTGTGTTGATACTAGTAGTGAGAAATAGGTCGTACACGTAACTAACTGAAAGTTGAACACTGCGTTGAATATAATAGTTAGTTTTCAGTGCATGTTTTCTTTTAGCCTAAAGGGTTAATTATTCCGAGGAGAAGATTAATTTTGTCACTACACTTACAAAGAAATCTTAGTAAACGAAATTCCATGAGAATAATGTTATGTTCGAACGTTTTATAAATAGCCCATACTAGTATTTTTTAGGAACTTAGAATACCAAGGAACAACGGGTTGTAATCGGGTTGACATGCACTCCAACTGCAGCAGGAGATCTACTACAAGACAATCTTCTTATCTAGGGCTTTCAGTTTTTATATATTAAATGAATGATAAAAACAAATATTCTGTAGAGTTTTGTGTGATATTGTGTATGTATAATTAGAACTCGTAACTGAACCTTGTAATGGTGGAAATTGTATACCAAGTTAAGGTGGTCGTCGACTAGAAGTTCAAAAAAATGATGGCGATTGTCATAATTGGGTAACATAAGACAACTAAGAACAGTGTTCAGTTTTACATATGGTAATCTATAGTATTATTCGAAATTATGTATGTAAAATGACACTGTATGCATTATTACTTCACAAAACAACAATGCACATGATACATTAAAATGAAAATATTTTTAATCAGAAAAGGGAATTCATTCAATGTAACTAGTAATAAACATTTGTATCTACGTTAACACTAGTAATAAAACGTGTATCTAAGATAACACTAGTAATAAATATTTGTATCTACGTTAACACAAGTAATAAACACGTGTATCTAAGATAACAGTAATAAACACACGTATCTAAGATAAAACTTAATAAACACGTGTATTTAAGATAACACTAGTATTAAACACACATATCTAAGATAACACTAGTAATAAACACGTGTATCTAAGATAATAGTAATAAATACGTGTATCTAAGATAACACTAGTAATAAAACGTGTATCTAAGATAATAGTAATAAACACGTGTATCTAAGATAACACTAGTAATAAACACGTGTATCTACGTTAACACAAGTAATAAATATTTGTATCTATGTTAACACTAGTAATAAACACGTGTATCTAAGATAACACTAGTAATAAATATTTGTATCTATGTTAACACTAGTAATAAACACGTGTATCTA